TATTGTATATTGATACCTATTTAAAATGTAAAACATTGCTTCAAATATTTATACAAAAAAATGTGCACATATATTTTTAATATTTTAAAATAGAAATAATAATAACTTATGATTATGAGTTTAAGAATTTATGAGGAACTTTGTATAAAATGTCCTCACTTTTTGAACGAGCCAAATTATTTCATCAAAATGTATTTAAAAAAAGGGAATATTGAAAATTAAAATGGTTTATAAATAACTCAAAAATAGTCAATAATATTTTGAACATTACACCATTCATAGGAAATTGTAAAATACATAAAATATTAAGAATTCTAACATATTTTAATATTTTGTTCAAAATACAAATATCTACTGTTATTCATTTATGTGTTGCACCAAATAAACAAAATCTTTTTTTATCAAAATTGGTTTTGTGTAAAAATTACTGGATTTTTCTAATGGGTATTCTGAATAATTTAGTTCCTAGAAAAGTRTTGGGAGTTTTTTACTTTTTACCTCCACTCCCCCTAAGCACCAACTAGATTCTATTTTTTAACAGAAACCACACTCTAAGTTGAAAATTAAATCAAAAATGTTTGTCTAAAAGGTGATGACATACAGAAAAAAACAAGATCTAAATACTTGTAAACATGAGATAAGTAAAAGGGTGTGGTCGAAACTCAGAATGCTATTCAAACTTAATTTTCGTGTAATTATTTAAAATAACTTACTAACAGTTGAATGTAAACCAATTAATAATTACAATTATTGATTGTATTAAATATTTAAACCGTTTCAAATTATAAAAATATGAATCAAATAGTCTTATGATTGACAATTTTTTACGGTAAAATAACAGCCAACAAGAAATATTGGAAATATTAGATTAATAGATTATAATTTATATTATAATATAGAATAAGCATGTTTGTGTGAAGTACTTAATCTATCTACATAGTACATAGTATTATCTATTTACTTATTTCTTGCACAGTTGCACTTTCAACTTTGCAATTTTATGCTCTTATCTTCGCGGGTTATGAGTGTTGATCAGTGTTGCTACGTTTTACAAAATTAACTAACGTACAATAGAAATTAAAATTATTGTACCTTTTACGAAATTAACTAATAATAGAGTTCATCTTTTTTTTTTTAATTTTAGCTATAAATCGCTTCGCTAAATAAGGATACATACGATACTGTCTTCTATAGTTATACTTTTATGGCTTATACCCTGTGACCTGTGTTCGACAATAAAAATAATACAAAATATTTTGAACTCACTACAATGAATCTCATAAAGGTTTTTTCTACTACATAAACGTCTAATAACTTATAAAGTTTCTTTCTTTAAAATTGACTATTTAGAGTGCTTCAAAGTTTTTATTTATGCATGTTGTATTTATCATACTTTTTAACTGTTTATTAATAATTTGGTGAACATAAAAAAATTTGATTTACTTACATCAAACCAGAAAAAAAACACCACACAAAATATGTTTTGATTGGAACATGGAAAATTCATACTTCCAATATATTTCCATTTAATAGTAAATGAACAACAATTTTGCAAGAAATGATCCAAAGTTGATTCGAAAACATCAATGTTGTCACAAAATTTTTAAAAGGATTTCTTTACGGCAGACAATATTTTCAAAACAAATTCCTAGGTATGAGTTAGGGATGAGTCAAACACTTGTGATTTTAGGTTTAACAGTATAGCTTCTAGTTTCTCAGAGACTCTGAATAAAATAAAATTTTTAATTTTTACTAAACACTTACAACTAGCAATTAAATTTGTTGAAACTAATAATATTTTATGATATTATTGACTATTGTACTTGTTTATGCTAAGTGGCATTTTGTAATACAGTTTAATAATGATTAATAAGAAATGATTAAAAATTCAAATTAATAAGTTTATTGGTAATAAAACATATATTAAACTACAGTTTGAGGTTGTCTACTGGTTAAGTGCTGATAACAGTTTACAAATATAACAGAATTAAGTATACAAACAAAAAATAATATCAACAAAATCATTACATTTCTAAAACTTATTTATATGTACAACTTAATCTAAGAAAATGATTGTATTTATTTATACTAGCTAATATTGATCGTGTTGTTACCTAATAAGTTAATAATAACCCAAGTAATTGATACTGTAGTCAGTAGGTACCGATAATAATAAKAAGAAAAAAGTGATGTAATTTAACAGAAAGGTATATAAAATAAAGTGCATTTGGAACTGAAATATTAATTAAAATTAGAATCCTCGTTAGCAACACGCATCATCCTTTAAACTGTGAGGTTACAGGAGTAATTTGTTAATAACTATTATATTAAAAATTCCGCTATTATTTTTACTTCTAATCGGTTTGGATTAAATTTGTAAGTTAAAACATATACACAGTTCTCCAATAAATTTTGATAGTTATTAGTTGACATGATACTTGCTAGTGACTTGTAAACTGTCGGCTGTTGATTTGGTAAAAAATTCTTCTTTTATTAAGTCTGGTCAAGCCATTTATGATTGTCTTCTAAAATCTAATTAAATAAATGATATAAATTTATGGTAAAAACATAACATTTAAGAATATTTTTTACATTGTTTATGTTTCATCAAGATAACCTAGTTCTTTGTTATTTATTTTTATAGGAATTATAAGTACTTAATAGTAATCAGTGCACTAAGAATTGGTAATCATATGTAATCTTAAGTAATAATGGGTATCAAAACTTTTACTATTTTTGATTTTCAATATCAGGGTAAATAGTAAATACTTCCTGATATTTAAGCAAGTTACTTTACAGAAACACCACCATGTAATTTGGAGTTATTATTATTAGGATTAATGATTTCCACTTTATGAGTAAAGAAATGATACTATGAAAAAGTAGACAAGTCCTAACTATGGAGATAAATGTGTAAACATAGACATATAAACTAAATTAATAGATCTCTATGCRCGAGACTGAAAGTATTTTATAAAGCAGTTCAATCTTAATCAAAGAAATGTTTTAAAAGGATATCAGAGCACACTATTTGTATTCATTGTCTAGCACACGTGCAACATAAACAAAACACATTTATTCAAAATCATTGGTTTTTTCATGTTTTTGAGTAATCTTAGAATACAATTATCCATTACAAAAATTAATAGAGAATGATATTTTTGATGCCACTTATTGGTTTGTCTAATTAATGTCTCAAATTTTTAATTTTCATTATGAGCCAAATATAAATAAAATATGAAACCGATAATAATTATGTCAAGCCATCAAAAATATTATCTTTTATGATTTTTATAATAAGTGATTTTAATTTAAAATTACTCAAAAATCATTAAAAAAAAATTTTAGGTAAAAATGTATAATCTATATTGTGTGTGGATTTAAGAGAAAAATAAATATTACGCTGATATTCTTTTTAGGTAATTTACTTCAGTAAAATGCCAACAAACGCCATAAATTAATCAAAACTAACATATTTTGTGGATAAACTACATATAATTTAGAAATCAATTGATTTATATCTTACATTTGGATATGTATAATGTATATAGGTACTTTGTAAAGATTGATTCTTTTTTAAATGTAAATATAGCAGTATGAACTACTTATTACTTATATTATAATATAAACCTTTTGTTCCCTTGACATTTGAAAATTACTGGCACAAGTCACAAATTGAAAACAAGTTGAATGAAATTTTTAATAAAAATAGTTTGTGTCATAACTATTTTGATAGCTCTTTAATTAAGCATGTTTTATACAAAATTTAACTATTCTGGCCATTGAGTTGCTAAACATAAAATAAAACACAAATTTGTTAAAAATAATAATATTGATTATACTATTAAATTAAAAACATATTATTTACTTGTGTGGCCAATTGTACTAACATAAAATCATTAAATATATGCCTATTGTATGATTTTAGGACTCGCTTTAGTCGGTGCATTAGAATTATTATTCAAACCATTGTTAAAGACTTCAACAAGTTCAACACAATATTTCATCTAATGTAAGGATTTTCAGGCGATTCCTATATATTAAATGATAATTTAAGGTGTTTAATCAAATTTTTTTTATAATTGAAAACAATTATATCATATTTAATCTTAAACTTTTTTATTGTATTATCTATTTCGGACATTTTTACTAAGATGGTGTGGTTTATACATTTAATCAGAGCACCAGACATAATAATAAGTCTTTTATCATCCTAAGGATGGTTTAATTTGTTTTTTAAAGTATCTTTTTTACAACTTACTCCCAATTCTGACCATACATTTTTATGGCTAGTTATTCTGCCTGACACTTCCATCCATTTTAATACCAGAATGTTTGATAATTCTAAGATCAATTGCTTTTATGACTAATTCAGCTGTACCTATAATTATTAAAATGGTTATATTAACAAGTATTTTGAGAAAAATTAATAACTTACCATTAAAACTGAAACAATTTATTTGACTTAAATTTTTTGAGGAATACATACATCATCGATTCTAAGAATTGTTTTGTTCACTAATTTTATATTGCCTTTGTTTTTCTTGTAGTTCCTTTAATTCAATATTGATCTTAGTAATATTAGTCCGTAACCTGAAAATTATGAAATAATACCAACACATTACATTTCAAGTATAAACGAGTTTATACCTATGTGTAATGAATAAAATATTTAATTTTAACTTTTAAGTTACCTTTTATTGGATCTTTTCAAATTGTTTATTATATTACATTTTGTTGGTGTAAGAGTACATCCATTATTTGTTGACTGTTTTATTTGCTTCACCGATTTTTTAAAATAGTTGATCAAGAAGTTGCAGGCTGAACATTTTTTAGTTTTTAGATCTATTAAAATTGGACATTTTTGGTGACGCCACAATTGATTATTTTCCAAAGTTGCAGTTTTTACCCGAACTCCTAAATATCATATAATCATCAAAATATCTAAGAATTTCTGAATGCATTTTATTGGTAATATGGATATGAATGATGTTTACCTGGAAAATCTATTGATCTTGGACCACCTCCACAAATTTTTTTAAAATCAAGTACTTTAATTACTTGACAAAGATTTATTATGCTCATTGGATATTTTAACGTGCAGCTTATTTTTTCAATTTGAATAGCAAATTGGTAAACATATAAACATATTTCCAATGTACTTTTGAAAATTAATTGTTTTTCAATTTCCATTTTACCATAATTAAACTTAGCTTTATAAAAAACAATTTCATCATTACTAAAATGTGATGTCCATCCTTCCGGTAATACGACTCTTTTAAATTGTGTTGTTAGATCCTTAAATGTCAATATCTCATCAATATTTTTCTAAAAAAATCAAGTATAAACATGAAAATTAGTATTATACCTAATATATTGAATGATGATATTATTAATTAATATTAAAATAATTAAATTAAAGAAGGAGGTAGGTACTTCAAATAATTTTAAATGTTTATTCGGAGACTTTTCACTTAACTTTTAAGGATCAAAATCTTTGATTATAACTTTATTATCTTTAAAATTGTATRATTAAACAATGATTATTATCCTCGTTATTACCATTGACTATAGATAGATACCTAGTATACTAGTATACAACATGAGCTGGTGGAAGTTAATGAAATATACTATAGAATAATATAATAAATTATTAAATTATACTAGTATAATATACAATAGGCGGCTAAATAGTCAATCACATATGAATAACAAGTTCTACCAAAAAGCTTTGGCTGTTTCTTTTATAATATTGTACATAGTACCCACTTAAGTATATTAGATAATATATAAAATAAGCAATTAATATAATAGGTACTTACAGACATATTTTCAATAAATAATTTTTTCCCATTAGATTTATTGATTTGTTTACTTGAAAAATTTGCATAATTGTGATCAGAATATGAATTATAGACAGAAGATGAAATTTCATTACTTATTTTGTTGACAGGAGAAAAAATGGAAGGAACAATTCCCTTTTTCAAACCAATTTTAATTCTGTTTCCAACTTCCTATTAGATATAACAATTAAATAATAATTATGCATCAACAAAATTAAATAAAAGTAGGCAGATAGTTAACAACGTAATACTTACATTGGCAACATCGTCTGGAACCGAATATGTATTTATTATATCTTCAGGTCGAAAATGTTCAGCACACACAAGTTTTACAAATGTTTTCTCGCAGTTAGCATTACTTACTGCTAAGTTCCAAGCTAAATAATTAGATTTTGGTGCATTGAAAAAAGAAATCTTGGGATTTCTTTTTACACTAGTACATCCTTTTACACAACACTTACGTGTTTTCATTATTCAATTTTATTTTATTTATTAATTAATTAAGAATGTTTTAATAGTAAATACACATGAAGTTGTAACTTTTAAACACCTTTGTACAAATTGCATCGTTTAATTTGAACATTATATTCTTAGACCGCGGTCAGTGGATATATCACAGAAAACATTTTAAAATAAATATTTAAAAAATATAAATATTTATGTTCTCAGCTATTCATATTAGTTATTTCTTAGCCCGAGCCCCCGACAGTATAATACACTCTGTATTCCGTGCTACGTGATAGTGATAAATGATAATAAATAATATATTATTATCATAGTTTTAATTGTGATGTCAAATCCTTGTGTCTAATAAAACCACTGGGTAGCGCTAAAACCAGTTGATCTAAGCATTCTAAACACAGAACAATAATCTAAGACTTTAAAAACATGTAATGTAATCCATAGATCACGAAYTTAATATAAGATAAACCAGTTAAAAGGTACACGACAGTCTATTTTCATAGCCACATACAAATAAAATTTTTTTATAACTTCTGTACTTAGATATTGTAGATAAGGCGAACATTACCGTCGTAAATATTTGAATTTGATATTTATTAAACCAAGTTTTTTTTTTTTTTAATTAGTATAAAAAGTAAAGATAGTATTTAATTTTTTTCTGTAATCGAATAAAAATGTTAGTGAAATAAATTAATAACATTGTTTCATTTATTAAAATTAGTTGGTTATTACTAAAACTGTTTACCATTATATTAGATAATGGGTAGGTAGTAAAATAATTGTAGATGCAAATAATTAATAATTGTCTAGGAGCTCCGAAATTTTAACTGTCTTTGCCCTATTAGGGGCCTACAAATACTTTATCCGGCAATGATAACGGTGCAAAGTTTGGAAAAAGGAAAAAAATATAGCTATAGYCGTACTACTAAATTCAGTTCTAAAATACATTAATTAAAATTTAAAACGCAATATAGCTTTAATATAGATATACAAATAATTATGATTCCTGCATATTATATAGAAATATTGTAATGAAAAATAGTCACAGACGAAACGTATAGTAAAATCAGATATTAAGTAGTTGAACTCAATGAGTTTGTRGACGAAGATCGTAGGTATAAACTTAAATTTGGTATATATATATATATATTTTGATCTATATAAATGTATAACAGGTAGGTACTTAAATCATTACGGAAAAAAGTACGGACATGTTAAGGTCATGGACCTATAAAAGAATCTTTTTTAAGTCTATATGGTTAAGATACTATAGTACTATACGGTACTTGGTAGATCTATATTAGATACTTTTAACCTATATGTATGGTGACCAGACGTACTCTTTTTCGCAGGACAGTACTCTTTTTTTTTGATGTGTGTCCTAGTGTCCTTAACAATAGTACATGAAATTGTACTCTTTTTTTTTTTAAATATAAGCTAATACGTGTTTATGTGTTTTTACTGTTTTTTATATTTTGATTATTACCACCGTTTAGATATTTACAACAATGGACATAACCAAATAACAAACATAACTGAAGATAATTTTAGAATATTTTACACTTGGTATTTTTACCTTAAAAAATAATTTATACTTTATTTTAAGTTTACTTAAAAATTTTAAATTTAAAGTATTTTCATCTTAGACACACGCCAAATAAGTTGACATAATTTCAAATAATAAGTTTTAATTGTTGATTATAGGAAAAAAATAATAGAGTAATCAGATAAAAAAACAAATTATATAAATGGAGATGACCCATGGCCGCTAATATCTATGGTATGGGCAAAATGGGTAGAAAAGTACACAYATTGGTTAATTATGACAGAGGAGGATCTAAGTTTTAAAATGTACTTTTTTTTTTATTTTTATATCTGGCCACCTTACCTATATGACTACCTATAATATAATTTGATATCATCTGACCAGTAAATATACTTCAGTGGTCGAACATATTATTATCCCCGTCAGGTAATGTTCATTGAATATTACTATTAAGCATTACAACGGTTTTATGTACACTTGAAATTATTGTTTGGTCATAAGCAATATGGTAAACTAAAGATGTCAAAGATATATCGTAATACTATTATGCAGAAGTATAATCGGTGCGAAAGACCTGGTCTGTTTTTAGTGACATTTCACATTTATTTGGCAAATCCACACACGACGCACCTCTCCCGAAGTTTTAAAAACAATATAGTTAATAATATGAGATTGTACAATAATACTTATTACTTATTATTATTATTATKATGGGATACGGTCGAGACATACAGCAACTGCTGAAAAACCCACGTGACCCAATGTATTTATCTATTTTTTTTTTAGACTTTTAGGATTATCATTATCATCATTTTCGTGTTCGGCGATTCCAAATCGGCGGGCACGTCCGAAGACCTCCGGCGGTAGACATTTTGTCTTCGGCATCCAACGAATATTGTTTTTAACTTTGTTACCGAGACCTGACTTCGTCGTCTCTCAACCAGTCCTACCCCGGTCACCCTTTGTGTACGCAGACGTGACATGCAACGGACCATTTGCAAGTTCGTGCTATACTAAACTATAACCACCGTTACCACAACTATTATTATTAGTCGATAAAATTATCAACGTCATCGCCATAATTTCGTCGTTGTACGTTTCGAGTGTTCCCAAAATAACAACCATCATATTRTTATTTTTTTTTCTATAAAAACAAATAGTTTTTGTCGTGTATTGTAAAACCTACTTAAYAACAATAAAATTATTATTTGAATACAGATTACAGTGTTGTCGTTGTTGTCGTCGTCTTTATCGTCGGCCGTCGTCGCCAGACGCCATGAGCGGTATAAACTTGTCCACGAATTCGTCACCCGACAGCAGTGATATTAATAGCTTCCATTCGATCGACATCGAATCGCCGACAGTTGTGGCTCAGAAATATTACGGAAATTCAATCATCGTAGCTCCTATCTTACCACAAGTAAGCAAAATATTCAAATAATTGTGAGAAAAAAAACCTATACACCATGTTATCATGATAGAAATTATGAGTAGGTATAGAGATTATAATTTTAGAGAAATGTCTCTAAAGCGATTGAACCGCTTGTATAGGCATTAAAAAATACAAAACATAAAAAATAGATAAAATTGTACTAATTACAATCAGGTACTTATATTATCTATGATTTGAATGTTTTAAAAATAAGACCTACGCATTATTGCCCGATGTAATAATGGCATTATTACGTGTTAAAATTTTAAAATTTTCAATGCAGTTGCAGTTGCAGTTTATCTATATCACAATAATATCAAATTTCGATATCGTTCTTCGTTTCCAACGACTCCAACAGGAAAAATTTCCCAAGTCATAATATAAATAATATTCAGTGCAACATTTTCAAGAAAATATAAATATAATAATATAATATTATGCTTAAGAGGATGTCAACGCAATATTTGGTTTTTTTCAGACACACGCGCAATATAGGAAAACGCTTTCATCTAAAATCGTTTTTTTATGATTTTTAAGTAATCTTAGATTAAAATCACATGTTACAACAATTATAGAAAATAATATTTTTTAAGATATGATATACCGACTTTATATTTTATTGTTATTTGACTTTTAAAATACAAAAATAAATAAAATTGTAAATTTAAATTATATTTAAATTGTTTTGAGATAATATTAACATAAAATATCGGTATGTTATACCCTGAAAAATATTATTCTCTATTGATTTGTCATGGATGAGTTTACTCGAAGGTTATTCAAATACAAAAAAAATGATTCTGCGTAAATAGATTTTGTCTTGGTTGCACGTGGGCCAAAAAGAAAAATCAAATAGTGTGTAGTTATCATTTTAATAATTTGTAGTAAAGAAAGATTGTAGCTAGGATAGTTCTTGTTTAAAAAAACAAGAAGATTCTGTTCTGAAACTCGGCATACTTCCTAAATTGTAAATAGTTTTAAGTATTTGATAATATGATGAATGATGATTATCCTTAAGAGAACACTACACCCTCTTGTGTTGTTCCGCCTTACAAATAATGAAAAACATGGAAAAATTGTTTTTCGCAGGAAAAAACGAGAAGGCTAGTCATATCTAAGAAACGAAGTTTTTACCACATATAAAATAGGTCTTTGGCTGTGAAATATTGTTTTTATTTTTTCGATATCGGAACTAAAAAAAAGTTATTAATGTTTGAAAAACACTAAAATAATAATAACTTTTTTAGTTCCTCTAAGTCATATAAAAAAAAAGACGAGATAATGTTCTCAACTATATTGTATTTGGAGTCTTGAACTCTTGACTATTAGGTAATACAGTCTGAATAGTTCGGTCCTGCGCAAAACAGTTTTTACTATGTTGAAYATTTATGAGACGGAGATCAACACATATGARTGTAGYGTCTGAGTGTCTCTTAAGTCATTAAAAATCAGAATTTGAATAAATTATTTACTTAAGATTAGAGMATGCTTCATAAATCTATATAGGCTGTAGCTTGCAGCTACCTATTTATATTTTACATTCAAATGTAGGTATGTAGAATTTTACTGTTGTACGTATGATTTGTTATTAATTTATCTTTGTTGTTCATAGGATTTTTATTACTGATATAAATGATGACTGTTCAGAAATAATGTAACTACCTATTTGAATATTTTAATGTTTAATATGCTAAATTTTCTTAATTTATTGTTGCATTATAAAATGTTTTATAGAAATATGTAATAAAGTCAGCCAATTAGGTACTCGGTACTTTATTTCTCCATTATTTTTCTCTGGTTATTATGTTTTTGTATTTTTCAATGGTTTTGTTGTTATTATCATAAATTACCATTATAACTACTGGATGACAGGTTATATATTTTTTTCGCTAATGTTCACTAGTTTACATTACGTTCATAAGAATGGTATGTGATTTATTTTTATTTTTTTTTAATAAGATTAGTGATAAATGTATTTTTTTAGCCTAGGTATACTAATCAAAATAACCAAAAATCATTAACATGGAATATATCGTTGACTTATGATCAAGATGAAGTATCTGAAAACTTTTTAAGGATGTATAATGAACCAACAACAGTTGCTGAAAAATTTGGTTCAGCTATACTAGTGGTTCCCGAGAACATAAGAAAACAAGCTGATGAATTATTTAAACCTTCGGAAATCAATCCAAACGAAATATTTGATTGGTTAAACACTAAAGTCTCGTGGATTCTTCCATCCAGTTATCAACAATACCTTAAGTCTATTCCCCCAAACGTAAGTATTTTTTTCGTTTTACTTTTGCTTTAATTATTTTCTTAGTTAAATTACTAATTAGTAACATACTGTAATATCAATATACGTACGTTGAAGTTTAATAAGATATTAATTGCAATAAAAATATAATTATACTATTAAAATGGTCATTGAAATATATTTGTGATTTGTAMTTGTACAATTTAAAATAACTAAACTATTTATCAGTATTATATCGAGAAAAATTCGATGATTTGAATGTTATTAATCACAGTCAACCCTTAAAACGCGTGTTTTTAATTAATTATATGAGGGTTTTTTTTGTTCCCGGAAATATCAAATTATTTTTATACCGATGGAATATTTAAAATAGGTACTTCCTACCTATCAGAATAAAAATTAAATTTAAAATAGGCAGGTATTTGACGTAAAATATTATATACCTACGATTTGATTTATTTAAAAAATGTACATAATATTGTATTTATAATCTATATATCAACAAAACCTGCAGCTCGAGATGAATTACCCGTCAGAAACTTTTAGTATGCATATGAGTTAAATATATTTTTTACGTGTGAGTTGTCGGGTACCATTATTATTGATTTAGAATTAAAAAAACATATTACATATTTACATGCACCGTTAAAGCAATGTTTATAGTTTATAATATTATGGGAATGGATGGCGTATCCGTGCGYAGTTATATTATGTTTTAACCACCATGTCAAAACAATGGGAGTAAAAAATAATATGCGTTGCTGCATTATTAAGTACGTAATTCATTGGTATATAATTATACAATTATAATAACAGTGGATGATCTATCCGTTACAGTAGCTTTCAGTCGAAAGCTATATGTATAATATAGTAATAATATATAATATATGTATAATATAATAATGTATAATATAGGTATAACCATTGATTATAGAATAGTCTATTCTATAATCAATGGTATAACGTAATCATAGGCACACATTAGGTGTGAATTTAGGGGAACTGGACAGATTTATGGTACATCCTTTCTAATTTTTCATTTTTAWWCAAATAAAATTACTTAAAACTTTAGTTAATTATAATTTAATACTTGTAAGACAAATTAATAAGTAACTAATAATAAAGATTGTATAGATGTTAATATAATTGCAACTCTCTTTATTGATATATAAACTAAAACTATTAAGAAACTATACTGTACATAATGTATTATGTATTCAAAATATTCAAAAATAATCAGGTATTATAATATGCTAACACTAATTAATTTCATATAAGATTTAATTTTCTGTTTGATATTGCAAATTTTTGTAATATAGTTTCTCTAGCTATGTTGGTAAGATCACTCCTTATGCTATGAGTAGATAGCTTACTAAACCTTTCTTGATTGCTATTGGTACGTAATCGCTAACCCGTTTTTAAATCTACGTATAGCTTTAAAAAGTGAAACGTGCATTCATACCTACAATACTGTTTTAATCGTGAATTCATGGACTATTGTCTATTTGTAATGAAAAAAAAAATCCAACTCAATAAACCACAATAATTTACAAATGATCGGTGAAGCATTGAAATAAATTTTACAAGAAACTAGTGGTGCTAAGCACCTCCTAGTATCCTCCCCTCCCATATATGCGCGGTGCGCCTATGAACGTAATATTAAAAACCGCTACTGACGTGTGAGTCGTGATGACGCTGACGACCTCCTGCTCTTATATAATAGTCTAACTGTTTCCTATTTTGATTCTGCAGGTATTGGAGAAGAGGGAAAGACACGTGCTGTATCCTTGGACGCAGTGGAACACGTCGACGGGCACGCAGCACCGTCCGTCGCTCAACATAACCGTAGCGTCCCCATTGGCGTCCGACCAGTCGATGTCGTCGTCGTCGTCGTTGTCTTCGTCGTCGGTCTACGCGCACGCGTCACACTGCAGATCGCCCGACAATAACAACAACAACAACAGCAGCAGCAACAACAACAACAACAACTCGTTCGGTTACCGTAGCGACGGTGGCGGCAACGGGACGCTAGCGACACCGACGGCGGTAGACTGCACGTTATCGTCTTCTTCGGCCAGCGACCTGAGCTTTTCGTATTGGGCGGGCGTCGACGCCACGTCTTCGCCGCAACAGCACCACTATCTCCAGCACTACAATCAACAACAACAACAGTCGGTCGGCTGGACACCGGCGACCGTCCGTTCGTCGCCGTCCGACTGCGGCCGGTCGGTGTCGTCGGCCGAGTTCGTGCACTACAACTCCACCGCGGACGGCCGCTCGCCATCACCGACGTCTGTGCGCTGGCCGTCTCGCTTGTTCTACTGCGTTAACGCCGACAACAACACGATCAACAAGTTGGTGGAACACTACTGCACTTTTTGCTACAAGAACCACGAGCCACCCGAAGTGTACGGCGGCCACCTGGTCCGGGACGAGACGCGCACCACTTGTCCTAAGCTCAGGGCGCTCCGGTGCAAGCACTGCAACGGCACCGGCGACAACGCGCACACCATCAAGTACTGTCCGTTTTTGTACTCAAACTACAGTTGATGGACGGCACTCGATCGCGCAGGGTAGACTCGCGATCGAACGATTTAGC